GAACTGGTGTTTGTTGCTGACAGTGATTTGGTTAGAAGTATTTGAGTGAAGCAGATCACCCTTTGGTTATTTACATCTCACTGATTCACAGGTTAACTTTTTCAAACAGTTTTATTTCTACTGCTACCAAGACAGGTTTGTCATCTATCTAGGAGTTAGCTACATTCAGACCATTTTGAAACACTAGTCATGTTTGCAAACGTCTAAAACACCTTGAAAAGGTATTTGCAACGGGGGCAACGCTTGTTAAGTACTGTCATTATAAAGAGCTTTCATCTTCTGCTTAGTCATGTTCATGTCAGACCCCTTTCTGGACAAAGAAAGGCAAGAGGGGTAAGAGAATCTTTTAATCTAAGATTCTATGCTGCTACAATTATTTTTAAGATAACTTACAACTTCAGATTATTGTATTAGATTCAGGAGCAGAGAATTACTTTTCTGAACAGTTATTCCACATGGAGTAGACAACCTCAATCACACAAACTGATTTTATCATCATTCAAATACATTAACTGTATTTTGCAACAGTCTTTTGCCTAAGTTGACAAACCACTTTTGCATTTTTTACTGCTGGCACAAAAGATTTGCATTAAGCTTCAATTCTGTCTTCAACCCGTACTCAGCTCTTGCAGTACTTCAAAGCATAACCTGCATTTTCTTAAGAGACAGAAAGATAACCCCTCAAGTACCATTCACAAAAAGTCAGCTATGAAAGAGAAAGGGGTCCAAATTGCCCTTTGTAACATAAGCATGTATATGTATGCAAATGCACACACTTTTCTATACTGTGCTGCTATGTACAGTATTTGGAACTTGGTTTTCCTATTTTTAATTCCATAAATTCTATGATCCACTGGTTCAGAGAAGTCAAGCTGCAGAAGGTAGCATTTCAGCAAGATTATCAGCCAGCGCCATCAAGGATATTGCACGCCTGATACAAGACAGCGCAGAAGACACTGTAAAAGCTTAGCAAGAAGACAGATTACACTTCTGTAACCACCTCGGACGCAGCGCCCAATACACTCACCTTAAACCAGATCTGACTAGCTTGCTTGGTTGATAACTCAACATTGACTTCAGACCAGTGTTTTAAACCAAGTAGGCCAAGAAAAAGGTATCTCAAGAGTGACCACTGCCACCTCATTTGTTAGTTTTCTGTTCACTGAGGTGAACCTTGCAGCAGCCCAGGGTTCTCAGCAGCACAGTCTTCCTCCTCCTCTACTTCAATCACTTCACTGTTGATTTTGCACATTTCGTTTCTGGTTTTGATTTTTTCTTACTGGGAATTTTGCTGCTTATAATGAAAGAGCTGTTCTCCTAACAAAACAGAGGACAGAAGTATTCACAAGTCTAGTTTTGAGATACTTAAACGGTAAGATTTTGATATTAGCTTTGCAAACTTTAAGAACTCTTCAGAGAGCTCCAGAATTCTTATACATTTCAGCATTATTTCAAAGAGGAGAGTGTGGACTCTCAAAACAACTTCCTTCTGCACCGCAGATCAGTATTCACAGGTATCAATCATACAGTTAACTCTGGATCTAAGCTCAAGAATTAAGAACTCAAAACATTATCTACTAATTCCTTAACCTCAGAAGAGAAACAAGGTTAGAGAGGTTCTGAAGTTAAGGAACATTTACTCACCACTACTCTGGCATCAAGATCTTCTGGATTATCAGAATTCAAGCTGTCATCATCATCACTGAAATATAAAAATTTGCATCAAGCTCTGTACTTTTATAGCAGCCTAAAACACGTAAACTGTTCTCCTACCACAACCCCTGGTTTCTCTTCAAGTGTATGGAAGTGCTGCAGCTTGTAAGTGTAAGGTAATACTACTTCTACATGAGGTTGTTCTCCAGTGTTAGTTTCTGACAGCAGAAACACATCCTTACCAGCAACACCGGCACGACGGAAGCAGTGCTTGGCAACAGAACAAAGATTTAGTGGTAAACATCAATAGTAGTACTGAGATATTTGGGATTACACTGGCAGCTAGAAAGTCAGCAAGTCAAGAAAACAAGCAGAATACAATTGAGAAAATAAGAAGCTAGGCCTCAGCTAACAAGAGTACACACCTGCCTTCCTAAAACTACAGCTGAGAAATATTATCTCCATACTGCCATGAACAAGTATGAAAATCAGTTCTACTATCATCCAACAGGTTTTTCTCTCAAGACAGAAAGAACTCCCCAGAAAGAGATAAAGCTATTTTAGTACTATGGTTTCAACAAGTGGCACTGGGAAGACTAGTTCCAAAACGTAGAAAAATCTTCTAGTACTTATTTTATATAAGAATTGAGTGTCTGGATAAGCTGGCTTGCATTTGTTCTACAGAACTTCTGCTCTTCTTCTACAGTTTCTTCTGTTCTTCTACCAGACAGCAAACTAATTACTGTTACTTATTTTACAGGCTCACCCTAACACTTCAACTTACATAAATTAGCAGTTTAACCGACCAGTAGCTGAAAGACAGCTGTGTACCTTCACACTTTTAGGTTTTCTAGTTTTAAGGTGCCGAGTATATTTACAACATTAAGTATTCTTGCTGATTCACTGATCCCTTTATTGCAAGTTAACTGATCATAAAGAAAGACCCAAGATGATACTTCAATGCTTAATAAAGTAAAAAGGAAATTAAAAAATATCCTCTAGTCTTTGCCATAGAACACTTCTTTATCTGGGATAACTGTAGAGGAACTAATTTCAGGAAGCTTTTTTTTTTTTTTTTTTTTTTTTTTTAAAACATTTCTACCACGTCATTTTAATGAGACAGTACAAATCACCACATGAAACAATCACCCGTCTTTTGATTAAAAGTATCTCATTCTATGAGAAGTTCCAAGGCACATTCACAAGCATAGAATCCCAAGGGGCTGAGTGTTTTATTCCCAAAATAAACAATGCTTTCATAAGCAGATATTTACATTACACAATGTTGATACAGGCTAAAAGGACAGCACAGGAACTGAACTTGATACACCTACAACTCTGTCACAAAATCGCATGCTACTGCAAGCAACTGTACTACCTCTCGAGTTCCTCAACTGTACCAGTAACAGACTGTACTGGTCTGGCTGGGATGGAGTTAGCTTTCTTCATAGCAGCCTGTACGGTGCTGTTTTGGATTTGTGGCTAAAGCAGTGTTGATGCCCTTCCTGCTCCAGCAAACAGGCTGGGAGTAACAAAGAGCTGGGGTGGGGTGTCATGCATCTGCCTGTATACACACAAACTTGTATTTTAGTTAAGAACAAAAGAGCAAGTTTTATACCACCTAAAAATCTAAGATGAACTTACTTCATCTCCTGGATAGGGGAAATGGGGCCTTCATCATCTAAGTATTTGTGTTTCCGTACTGCCAGACATTCTCTTTCCAAGTCTTCACTAGCTTGAAGGGCTTTTAAAGCCTTTTTGAGATGTTCTTCATATTTAAGCATTTCAATGTACTTTAAATATCCCTTTGCAGCTGCTTGCTAAAGAAAAACGCATCAAGTGAGATCTTAGAAATATCACTACAAAACAAAGAAATTAAGCATTTCTATTTAATCAACTGAACTGTAATGTTAAATTGACACATGTATTTTATCTGTGTTTGTCTTAAAGGCATTAAACAAACAAGTGTCCTTACAAAAGTAAACAATTTGTTACATTGTAGCACATCAAGTAGAAGCACAACACCCAATCTAAATTCACTATTTTTAGACTAAATACAAAAATAAGACATTTATCCCACAAAACAGAGGACTCACCTCATAGCCAAGAACCATCTTTAAGGGAATGTGTTTCTTCCCATAATGTTTTTCAACAAAAGGGAATTGAAAGCCTCTGTCTTGAAGCCTTCTCTTTTGTTCTTGTGGCGAGGCTGTCAGCGGTGGCCTCCCGGTACGCATCCGTGTGCTCTCATACTTCCTCTTCTTCTTCTTCTTCGTTGAGCTAATCCTGTACCTTCGGTGTGCAGCAGCCTTAAACTTCTTTCCCCTGAAGTGATAGGCGAGAATGGCTTTCACATTGAGCTTTGACTTCTGCTTTTTGGAAGTTTCCGATGATTTCACTGGACTTTGAGGAGACAGAGAAGAATCTGAACTTTCATCATCAGGCTCTCCTTCAACAGATTCTGCTTGTTGCCTTGAAGGTTGAGATCTCTTTTTTTGCTTTGAAGGTGCAGTGGAGCACTTCGGATGGTATTCACTAACACTAGCAGCAGAGAGATTGCTAAAGAAGAAACAATATTTACTTTCAAAAGAATGTATGCTTTTATGATGTATCACAGGTTCTATACAGGAAACAGAAATAAAAACTCACATTTCTGAGTCACTGCTGTCCAGCAAAACCACAGCAGAAGCAGCTGATGATTTATGTACACTGTTAAGCTCATCTGAAGACCCCTGAGCAGCAGCATCCTTCCGCCTTGAACGTGAACACTCCATTTGTGTATTTGTTCTACCTGCATGTACCTTATGTGGTTCTTTCTGCCAACTGCATATTAGCTCTTGGGCATCAGGGCAATCAGAGTCAGAAGCGTGGGATTCATCTGTGTCAGACATGTTTCAGTTTATCCTAAAAATTAATGAGAATTCAAGAAATTAAAAGTTCTTTCTACGTTAGTTAAGTAACAAGCCTTCCACCACTCCACCCAACAGGGCAAACTTAACAGAACCATCTGTGAGCAAACTTCAACATAGGTTTTCCTGTGAACCACGAGCAAATATATTAACCCTCAGAGTAACAGTTAAGTTGCAGCCATTTATCTCAAGATATTCATAGCATAATTTAGGTCAGAAGGGATTTTTACAGCTCTTTTGGTCCAACACCTGCTCAAAGCAAGGCTAATTTCAGAGTTGCATCAGATTGTTTACAAACTTGTAGGGGTGAGTTCTGAATGTTTTAACCCTCTCCCTACTAGGAATAAGCTTTCCCTTAAATAAGCACACATACCTGCAGCCAACAGCCTCTTATACTTGTAAGGATACTGCAGTTTTAAGTCATACACAAATACTCATTTCACTGTGGTTTACAACCTTTTTAAGCTAATCCAAGTGTTGTTATCAGAAGCAATGCCATCTTCCCTCTGTTCTCTTTGCTAGCTACAGGATACCTAAAGACTCCTGCTCTAACAGTCTATCAATCCTTTGTTCACTTGTTCTCAATCAACATGGAGACTAGCCCCACAAAATGTTAATTTTCAGTTGAATCTGCAAGACAAGCAATCCACCCCTTCAGCTGCTCAAGTCTACACAAAAGGGACTGAATACACCCAGCAGAGGAAACTGTCCTTCCTGTGCAATAACCTCGAGTTGTTTTACCTGCTTGTTAGTCATTTACTAGCCCTGTAGATCTGTATCTTTGTAATTTTACTGTGCTTTTTACAAATGCACAAACCCACCATTATACCCATTAGTATTTCAAATGCAGTTACAACTTAACAGCTGAAGACACAGTAATTGATTTTTAAGCAGCCTACATCTATCTGACTTTTTGCATCATCTAACCGTTCAAGGCAGAACCTACTCCACTGCGTTTTTTCAAAATGAAAACATTTCAATCCAAAACCGCATTAAACGCGGGCTTAGAAGTATGCTAGACCTTAAACTCACCCTAATGCACTTCAGATAGCAGCACAGGTGCCCAATCTGCCCTTTGCTGTGAGAATCACAGAATCACACAGAATCACAGAATCGTAAGGGTTGGAAGGGACCTCAGGAGATCATCTAGTCCAAACCCCCTGCTAAAGCAGGCTCACCTAGAGCATGCTACACAGGACTTCATCCAGGCGGGCTTTGAATATCTCCAGAGAAGGAGACTCCACAACCTCCCTGGGCAGCCTGTTCCAGTGCTCTGCCACCCTCAGAGTGAAGAAGTTCTTCCTCATATTCAACTGAACCCTCTCGTGTTTCAGTTTGCATCCATTGCCCCTAGTCCTGTCGTTGGACACCACTGCAAACAGACTGCTTCCGTCCTCTTGACTTCCGCCCTTAAGATATTTGTATGCATTGATGAGATCCCCTCTCAGTCTTCTCTTCTTCAGGCTGAACAAGCCCAACTCTCTCAGCCTTTCCTCGTAGGGGAGATGCTCCAGTCCCTTTATCATTCTGGTAGCTCTCCTCTGGACTCTTTCTAGGAGTTCCTCATCTTTCTTGAACTGGGGAGCCCAGAACTGGACACAGTACTCCAGGTGGGGTCTCACCAGGGCAGAGTAGAGGGGGAGGAGAACCTCCCTCGACCTGCTGGCCACACTCCTCTTAATACACCCCAGGATACCATTGGCCTTCTTGGCAACAAGGGCACATTGCTGGCTCATGGTCAGCTTATTGTCCACCAGGACTCCCAGGCCCCTCTCAGCAGAGCTGCTATCGAGCAGGTCA